CCTCTCGACGTGAATGGACCGCCTGTGTGGCCCTGCCTTCTGTCCTAGTCACCCTAGGCCACTGCCCTGTTCAGGGGGAGGATGGCTGGAGGCCTTAGCACAAAGTCAGTGCCCACGTTGTTCCCAGGCTGAGTTCAGGAAGGCTGAAAGGCCACTTTAGCTTTGACTTGGGCCCCTCAGAACCTTTGGCTCCCCCCACCACCCCCAGAGTGAGTGAAGCACTGACAGATGCCCCAGGGCTGTGAGGCACGGAGGGCGTGCCATCTGCTGGTTCACCCCTCGAGCTGGGTGTTCCTTTTCAATGCCATCGTCAGTTTGTGTGGAACAGAGACCTTCAGTCCTGTTTGGGTGACAGCCTCCAGGCAGGAGGGCCGCATCTGGAAGTGTGTGGGACCACGGGGTCAGCATAGTCCCATTCTGTTAGTGGGAGCCCTGAGCTTCTGGGGCACGGGGTTTAGGGCTGGGCAGAAGGAGGGCAGCCTTGCCCCGGGTCCACCCTCCCACAGTGTGTCCAGGGGTCCCAGCTAGTTAGTTTCCTCATTCATCTCATAAGTATGTGTGGAGCCCCCCACCTCGTGCTGGGCAACAATCTAGATGCTGGGGATACGGTGGGGAGCTGGGTCGCAGGTGTCCCTGCCCTCATGGAGCTCGTAGTCTAAAGTGTGGCAGGAGGCTTGGCAGTAGAGCTCTGTTCTGGTTTAGCCACTAACTCTGGTGGCCTCAGGCAGGCACTGTCCCTCTTTGGGCTTCAGCGAATGTCCAGATCTAGAGCGTGCGTGGAGGACCCCATTAAGCCACCAAGGGAGGGTGGGCTTGCTGCGGGGGCCCTTCCCGGAAGAAGGCGGAAGCTCATGGCACATTCCCTTCCTGGGGAGTTGTGGGGCAGGGGTCCTTACAGATGGCTGTGGCCAAAGATCTAGGTTGAAGATGAGTCACCAGAGAATCTGGATCAGAGAAGGGTTGGGAGAAGCAAGGCGTGTGAAGAAGCGGAGTGAGGGGTTTGGGTGGAGGAGGCTGTAGGCAGAGAGGGAGCCAATGTGGAGGCTGTGGCCACTGTTTTCGGTTAAGATCAGGGTCTAAATGGAAGCCCAAAGAACAGATGAGGACCGTCAGCATCAGCCTGGTAGGACAGGGCACCCGGCCCTGTGGTGGGAGGGGCGAAGCGGGGAGATGAGGGTCAGAAGGGGGTTCGGAAGGCAGGGGCCGCTGATAGATGGCGTGGATGTCGCCCTTCCTGCACCCCGGCAGCCATCCTCATCCATCATCAGATGGCCTTGGAAAGGGCTTCAGCCTTCTCAGAGGCCGTGGACTCTGGTGCATGAGACTCTTGGCCCAGGACATTGAGTCCTGGTGCCAGCTGACAGTCTGGAGTCGAGAGGCTGATCCACAGTGAGGGCCCACGGCAGCCAGGGGAACAGCAGGGACCAGACAGGTACTCCTGCCCACGTGGCACTCCCGGCCAGTGGGGGCACAGACAGTGACGCGATGTCAGATGGTGGAAACCGCTGTGAAGGCAACCAGACGGGTCCGACGGCATGGGAGATGGGAGAGCAGCTGCCTTAGTTAGAGTCCGTCCCGGCCAGTGGGGGCACAGACAGTGACGCGATGTGAAGGCAACCAGACAGGTCCGACAGCATGGGAGACGGGAGAGCAGCTGCCTTAGTTAGAGTCCAGGAAAGGCGACAGTCGAACTGAGGCTCGAACCAGCCAGCCATGCGAGGATCTGGGGGAAGGGCGCCTGAGGCAGGAAAAACTGCGAGTGCAAAGGCCCCAAGGCTCAAACACACTAGCCGTGGTCGAACAACCGAAGAAGGCCGGAGGGGCGGGGCAGAGAGGGGACGAGAGGAGGAGCTCAGGCGGGGCAGCTGGATGGCGTGGTGCCTGTGGGCCAGGGAGGCCAGCGCTGCCAGCCCCTCAGGTCTCAAATACCAGCTTCGGGCTCTGCTTCCTAATGCAGTGCCGGGCCCATCTGTACTGCCGTGCCCGGCACCTCCCATCCGCCACAGCCTCTCAGCTCCAGCCCACCCTGGGCACTATAGGCATCAGTCAGAGGCTGGCTCTGCCTGAGCCTGACTTCCTCTCAACTAGCTATGTGACTCTGGACAAACAACTTAACCTCTCTGAGATTCATTTTCTCTGTGGGCGAAGTGAAGATGGGGTGTTGCAGAGCATGCGCATGTAAACCACTTAAAATAGTTCCGGATACTCTGTACCTGCTCTGTGGGCATTGGCACATCACGTTGCTCTCGGTGGCGGACGGCAGTCACACTGGTGGAGGCTGCATGACCGCTTCACTTCCTGTCCCGCAGAGGTACAGCTGAAGCCCAAGCACCAGCCTTACAAGCTGGGCCGCCAGTGGCCGGAGCTGTTGCTGCGCTTCACTGACGCCCCGGACGATGACGTGGCCACAGGTCGGTGTGCTACCCATGTATCTCCCTCTCAGGGTCCTAGGTCTGCAGCACTGACTCGCAGCCCAGCTAGGCCTCCGATGGCAGGGGGAGCTGCCCTGGCTGAGGGGACAGGATCCCCCCAGGCTCCATCAGCCACTCGTGGCAGAGAAGGTCGGGGGACCCTGCGGGGAGTCCAGGAGAGGGTGTTCTAGGGGACAGCGAGCATGTCCAGATAAGCCACACACACGCTCTCTGAACAGCCCTCGGGTTTTCTCAGTCATGGCGGGCGAGCCTGAGGACTGGGGACTGGGCCAGTCAGGGGAGAGCTGGGCGGGCTGGGCAGCGTGGCCAGGCAGTGACCGCAGCCTCTCCCCCCAGATGAGCCCTCCCTGCAGTTCCGAAGGAACGTGTTTTTCCCAAAGCGGCGGGAGCTCCAGGTGAGGCACCGAGCCCCAGGCAGTGTCACCCAGGTCTGGTGCCCTGTGTCCCTAGACCCCTGGACACTGGTGCCCTGACCCCTCCCTACCATGCAGATCCGTGACGAAGAGGTCCTGCGGCTGCTCTATGAGGAGGCCAAGGGCAATGTGCTGGCCGCACGGTACCCGTGTGACGTGGAGGACTGTGAGGCCCTGGGCGCCCTGGTGTGCCGTGTGCAGCTCGGGCCCTACCGGCCTGGCCAGCCCACTGCCTGCACCCTGAGGTAACGACCAGCGTGACCTGAGGCAGGGGTGCAGCGTGGGGAGGGTTGCTCAGAATTTTACTTACAAGTGGTCCTAGGTCTTGCAAGGTCCTGGAGTCAGGAGGCCTCAGCCGCAGGGCTGGCCCTGACACCGTGACCTTGGGTCAGTCACTCCACCTCTCTGAGCCTCCTTCACCTCATCTGCCCTGGGCTGAGTGGCCTGGGAAGTGGGAGACTTGGGTGATGTGACATCTGTGAGTGGAGCCCCCAGTCCGAGGAGCCCCACATGTGCATCATCCTCCACCCGAGGTCAGGAGGGAGCTGGGTTTTTTTTTTTTGCAGTTGTAGTCAGGAACTTTGTGGGGGATAAATGATGAACACGCCCGTGGTGACCCTGAGAGGGGTGGGCAGCCCCCCAGACACCCCTCCTCATGCTGCCCTGTGGCCGGGCCTCTCCAGGCCAGCACGAGCTCCTTCCTCGCCTCCACCCTCCTACTGCACCGGCCGCCCTCCCCCGTGGCCTGGGGTGTTTGGTCCTCCAGAAGCCCCAGCAGGGACCCTCCCCTCTTCAGAAATGGCAACTAGGGTAACCTTTGTCCGGCATCAGTTACATGCCAAGCACATGCCAGCACCGTTCTGTGCCAGTGGGCATCAGTGCCCTTATATATACGTGGGGAAACTGAGGCTTGGCGAGGGCACGCAGCACTCAAAGACCGAGGCTCCAGCTGCGGCTCATCTGGAACAGCCAGTGAGCGGCCCACGAAATGGGCGGGCTGCCTGGGTGGGAGGACAGCGCAGTCACACCGGGCTCCTTCCCTGCTCTGCGTGTGATGAAAATGCCGTTTCTTTCCTGAGCCTGTTCCGATGGATTGTAGCTTGGTAGTTTTTACATCCCTATTTGGCAGAACAAAATATTGATTGTTCTGGGTCACTGGTACCAGTCTTTGGTTATAAAAGATCCATTAGTTCAGAAATCCAAACCTTGCTTACTCGGCAACACAGACGTTGCTGTAAAACCCTGCAGCCACTCCGGCTCTGGGACAGGCCTGCTTTGGGCTCTTTCCTCCTCCTCCCCTCTTTTCCTCAGGCCTCTCACCACCTGGGCCTGCAGCCAGGATGGCAGCAGTGGGATCTCTGGCTGTCCGTGTCCAGGGCCCGCCCCCCACAAGCGTGCCTGCACCCTGAGGACCTCGTCACCTCTGGCCAGCCCCGGCCTGGGAGCTTCTCATGCCGAGCATTTGTTTTCCTTCCTCCACAGGGAGAAGCTGGGCTCCTTCCTCCCCGCCCACCTGTGTAAGCGGGGCCACGGGCTCTTCGCTGCCCTCCGGGGCCGGGGGACCAAGGCTGGGACGGGCGAGCAGGGCCTGCTCGACGCCTACCGCAAAGTGAAGGAAGTGGTCGGCAGCGACAGCGAGTGCGAGGCCCCTCTGGGGACCCACTACCATGCCTACCTCCTCAAGTGCCACGAGCTGCCCTTCTATGGGTGAGCCATTCCTGGCTGCCGTCCTCGGACAGCCGCGACCCTGGGGTCTCCTCTGTCCCCTTCTCGGACAGCTCAGCTGTCTGTCTTGGCCTTCACTAGGGCGTCCTGCCAGTGAGCCCATCTCTGCTGAGCTCCATGCTCACATGACATATGCCTGATGCCAGCACCTTAGGCCCCACAGGTCCCAAGCTGGACACTTGTCTTTCCCTTCCACCTGTCACAGGCCAGGACACCCCGGACAAGTCCTCTCCTTCCACCTGCCAGTCAGGGGGCTTGCTGACCTTCCCTTCAGCTAGTGCCCTCATTCGTGCAGTCCCCATCTAGCCGATAGTTCTTGTGCACCTGCCGTGTGCCGGCACCCTTGACGCTGGCGACACCTCGTTGAGCAGAGGGACCGTGATCCCTCCGTGGTGAAGCTGCCATTCTAGTGGAGAGAGACAGTGAGCAGTGGCAGTACAGCACAGACTACAGGTGGGTAGGGGGCACAGCGCAGCCAGGTGGTCAGTGAAGACTGTGACAGTGCTCTGGAGGGGTTTCGTGGGCCAGTTGGTAGTAACACAGGTGAGACGTGGTCTGAGTCCAGAGACGTTGAGGGCGGAGCCAGCAGACCCTGCCGGGTAGATACGCAGTGGAGGAGGTGCAGGAAGGGAGGCAGAGAGGACTCCAGGCTTCTGGCCCTGGAGGGCGGCTCGTCATCACCTGAAACGGGACCCTGCAGTGGAGCGGGTTGGAAAGATTGGGGGCTTGGCTTTGCACGCGTTGATTTTGGGATGCTCTGTAGATACGCAGGTGGCAGTTCCAAGTGGGCTTTTAGGTTTCCGGGTCTATTCAGGTAGTAACTGGTGAGTCATCAGCATGTGGGTGCTGTTTGAAATCGCGTACCCCAAAAGACAGCCAGAGAGGTGAGTGTGGACTAGGTGGGAGGAGGACCCCAGCCAGCAAGGCGGGAGAGCTAGACAAGCCACACAAAGGGAGGTGTCAAGGAGGGCGTGACCAGGCATCCCATGCTGCTGCTTCAAGGTCAAGGTCACCATGCCTGTGTGGCTGGTGGTTGACCTTGGCCACAGCACTGTGGAAGAGGCAGTGAATGGAGGAGAGTGAAAAAAGGTTAGAGACCGTGAGGTGACTAGCTCTGCAGGCGCCGTGCTGTGGGATGGAGTCACGAGGGGGAGCAGCAGTTAGGGGTGCGCTGGGGACAGAAGGTTTTTAATTTTGATGACAGGCGAAATGTGTCTGCTGATAAAGATGGACAATAGAGTGAAAACTTGAGGTCAGGGTGGACAAGTGGCTCCTCTTCTGGTTACTTTAGCTTCCTCAGTAAAGTTGGAGTCTCAGCCATCAACCGAGCCTATAGATGTCTTCCAGGAGCGGGGACAGGCGAGGGACAGGCGTGGGACCGTGGGGCAGCTATTGGGGCTGCTCGCAGAAGTTGAATGTAGCTTGTCCCCAGTCCCCTCCCACTGCTCCAGTGCAGGCAGGCAGAGAACAAGGTGAACTAGGGCTCCGGCTTAGCCAAGGGCAAGGGGGCAAGGGTCCGGGACAGCCATAAGCGAAGGAGAGGACACGGCCAGGCAGGAGGGAGACGGTGGCAGCCCAGTGGGTTTGTGTCCCAAGGCCACCGCACCCATTCTCAGAACTCAGTGTCAAGCCCTGGGATCGCTCCTGGGGCAATCCTGCTGCTTGTGGGCCCCACTCAGGTGCAGCCTTGACCCCCCTCTGCTGCCAATGGATCTTGGCCCAGCAGACAGTAGACAGCGGGGCTGTCCTAGCCCCTGTGTGGCCTGACCACCTCCAGCAGCCTCAGCCCCTTAGTCCTCAGGCGTCTGGCAGTCCCCTGAGCATCAGTTGGGTTCATGCTCTTCCCTCTGCCCGTGGCACCCACTTCCCTGTGCCACCGAGTTCCCCTTGCCTGCTCAGACCTTCCTGTCCTGCATGACCAGCTCAGATGCCATTAGTTCCAAGAAGCCTCCCTCTCAGCCCCTTCAGTTCCTCCCTCCCCCTGGGCGAGTTTCCCTTTAACTTTCAGTCACGTAAACCGCTAAGCTCCTCAGGAACCCAAAAGAACCTGGCCAGAGCATTTGCTGGTGGGTGAACTGAGACTCTGGCCATTCCGCTCTTGCTGCTGGAGGGGACAGGCTGACACCAGCTCCCCTCCCCAGGAGTGCCTTCTTCCATGGCGAGGTCGACAAGCCGGCCCAGGGCTTTTTGCCCCGGGGTGGACGAAAGCCAGTGACTGTGGCCATCAGTCTGGAGGGCGTGCATGTCATGGACAGCAGGGAGAAGGTACCTCCAGCTCCCCCAGGGTGGGACCTGAGGGAGGTCTCAGAGGGGAAGGGAGCGGGGCCCTTACTCAGGCTTTTCTGGTTCCCCTGGGTCTATTGTTGGCCTGGGGCAGGGTGGATGGCCTGTCTGGGAGGGCCCCTGTCTCCCTCGGATGTCCCTGGGGCTTTCATTGGCATCCTGGGGGCTTTTCTGAGTTTTCTCTGGGTCTGTTTTTCTGCCCAGTGGCCAGCGCAGGGGGTCTGCAGCTGGGACTGACACTAACCAGAGGGACTCTGCAGGGCCTGGCTCTTCCACCCAGCCAATGGCTGGAGCCCAGCTGCTGGTTTTCCAGAAAAGCCCCCGACCAGGAGCCCTCCTGGGCTCTCTGAGTCCCGCTTCTCCCCTGGCTGTCTCCTGGACGCCTGCGTTGAAGGTGGTGTTGGCAGCCACCCTGTGTGGCAGCTTCTCTGCACCTGTGCAGGAGTCCCTCCTAAGCCAGCAGCACACTTTTGGGTGACTTCTTGTCCCTAGAGAGGGACCCCAGCATATCCGAGCCCAGTTGGGCCTTCTGCTGAGATGCTACCCAGCTGACCTCCTGGGAAAGGTCTTCCCTTGCAACACACCTCTTCCCCCACGTGACTCCCGGGTGTCAGGGCCTTGACCCTCCGGCGTGCAGTGCTGTGGGCTAGGGCTGCTCAACCTCCCTGTCCCCAACCCCCTTGGGTCTGATGACAGCAGGGACTCCCCTCCTTAGAGAAATTCATGCGAATTTATACTTAGCCTTGGACGTGGGCAGCCAGGAGTCCACTCCTGGTGGTACCCAAGCAGGATGAGGTGGGGGAGCAGACCTCTGCCCAGGGAAGTCCTAGCTCTGTGTCCCCCGCTGGCCAGCACGTCCTGCTGGGCCTGCGCTTCCAGGAGCTGTCGTGGGACCACACGTCCCCTGAGGAGGAGGAGTCTGTCCTGTGGCTGGAGTTTGATGGAAACAATGAGGGCACACCGGTCAACAAGCTCCTCAAGATCTACTCCAAGCAGGTAGTGGGAGGTCTCCCGCAGCCTCATGGGTGAGGGCGGGGGAGGCTGGTTCAGCGGGTCCCAGCCTGTTGGCGGTTCCAGGCTGGCGGGCAAGGAGTTGAGGGCCCTGAGGGCCTGGGGACCCAGGACGCTGACTCTGACCTGGGGCCACCCTGGTGAGTTCACTGGGCCTGGTCTGGAGAGTCCACAGCAGGCAGTGGCAGTGGCTACAGTGGGGGCAGCTGTTAGCTGAGGGCTCCCCAGCATTGTGACCAGCCCGCACTGGCTGCTCTGTCTTCGAGTTGGCTGCTCTCAGAGGAGGAGCACTGTGGAAAGGTTAAGGCCGCTCGGCGCCTTTGCAGCCTTTGTGTTTTTCCCTGGTGGCTTCATTCAGGACCTTCCTCCGCCCCGCCAGCGGCAGAGGCTGCCCTCCCTCCCGCAAGACTGTGTTCCTTGAGCCCGTCCTCTCTGCACTTAGACACGCTCAGGGCCTCCCACCTCTGAGAGCACACGTCCTAAGTCCCCCCTGCCACCACAGGGGTCTCTAGAACCTCCAGAGCCACCCCGCTCTCTCTGCGCCTCCCTCCCTGCTCCTCACCCCTTCACAGCCAGCTCCAAGCCCATCAGCCTCTGCTCTGCCACACTCGGTGCACAGACCTCTGTCCCAGCCTGACCACATGCTCCCGGAAATGGCCCTCCTGTCCCCTATAGTGGCTGCCCCGACCTCTGGCCTCCCGCCCCGTCTTCCTTGCCGACCCTTTTCCCAGGCTTCTTGAGGGACTTCTCTCTCTGCCCTAGAGTCCGCAAGCTCTTCCCTCTCTCAGCTTCGAATATTCTGCTATCCCCATCTTTATGCTCATGACTTCATAATTTTTGTATCTAGTTTAGGCCTCTTTTTAAAGTAAATGTTTTATTGAACTAGATGTAACAGAAGAGCGCCCAGATCCTAAGTGTATAGCTTAAGTTTTCCCAAAATAAACCCAGGTGTCACCTTTCAGATTTAAGAACTAGAACCAGGACCCCTAGAGACCCTCAAGCCTCCTTCCAGCCTTGCCCCCTAGCAAGAGACCCCCGCATCCTGACTTGTATCTCCCCAGAGTTGTCCCTCTGTTTTCGAACTTTCTAGCAATGGGGCCCACAGCGGGACCCCCGTCTGTGTCTAACGCTCAGCGTTGCGTGGGCGAGCGCCGTCCGTGCGCACGGAGCGGTGGTCTGACCCCCGGTTCCCCGGAACACCGGCGTCCGAATCTGCCCGGCGCGGCTCTTCCATTCTGTGGCCGAGGGGGCTCGGGTTTCTGGTCTGAAACTGTCGCAGACAGTGCTGCTGTAGTCACCGTCGCACGTGGCCTTTGTGTGAATGTCTAGTTTACACCTAGGAGCGCCCCGGCCGGGTCACAGGCGGGCGCGGGCTCAGCGCGAGTGGACACGGTGTTCCCCGGAGCGGTTGCGCGGTGTGCGCGCCCCGGCGGCAGGCGACTGCCCGCTGCTCGAGGCCCCCACAGCCCAGCACCGTCGGGCTTCTTCATTTTTGCCACCCTGCTGTGACAGTGGTATCTCCTTACGGTTTTTTCCCCTTTATTTTTAAGTCGACAACATTGAATATAATTTATTCTTAAACGCACCTATTTTAAGAGTGAGTTTTGACAAATTTACACACCCTTATAACCACCGTCATCACCACAGTCCAGCTATGGAGTAGCTTCTTTAATATTTATATGTCTTTTTAGAGGTAAAATGTCTGTTCACCTTTTTTTTTTTAGCCTACGGCACCTGGTCTTCCTAGGTGGTCGCCCATCCAAGTACTAACCAGCCCCCACCCTGCTTAGCTTCAGAGATCAGACGAGATCGGGCGTGTTCAGGGTGGCACGGCCATAGTGCTCAGTTTTCATTGCCATTATTTCCACCACCCCCAAGTCTCCCGTGGGTTTTACTTGGCACCCCCCAACTCCAGCCAGCTGACGAGGTCGAGCACCTTCTTGTCCGCGTTTGCCATCTGGGTAGCCTCTCTGGTGAAGTCCTCCGCCAG